AATTATATCTACTAGAATATTAAAAAAGAAGCCTTGATTTCAAATACCAAACACATCTACTGCATAAACCCAGAGGCAGTTAATATCTTTAATGAGGACAAAAGCACACAGGAAAACAATTATGTTTCTTTTAAATCATAGTTTACAGCAAACTAATTGAATTTAAAAGTAATTAAACAAGGAAATATCAATTAGATATCTATTGTCTCTCTTGTGCAATTATAATGTGTTATTGCTGATACTTCATAATTGTTGCTGAGAAGCGTTTTAAATCCTATCATTAGTTTTCTAGGAAGAAACAGAAGTGTTAGATGGTTCTCACTTCTTGGTGGTGTTTTTTATATAGATGACTAGAACTGCATCTCTATTGCAAGGAGGACATCTGACTTCAAAGACATCCTGATCTACTATGCATTTGAACATACATAGAACTACTTCATGAAAAGTAGTGATTGTAGTTATTTGGAAGTACTGTATAGCAACCAAATCTAAACCAACTGAGCTACCACGAACATCAAGAGATTTTCAATTCTCAAAAACATGTTGGTTCCTAAGGCAAATAACTATGTGTCAAACATGCTTGCAGGGAACAATGTACACAGATAAAAAAAGAAATGTGGAACAAAAATGGTCTTTTTTCTTTTTAATCTGAAAGGGGATTCTACATTTCCTTTGTTTACCCTTTTCCAAAATGAGTTACCAGGAGGTGGAAAATATCACTGAAGCATGTTATTCTTCAAAAGTTCCAAGTGAAGAAACGTCTTGACATCTTGACTGGTGAACTCAGAGATTGTGCTGGACCACTTTTTCTAACACTTGGTTATATGGACTTTCTCATTCTCCAATGCCTTCCACGTTCAAACATTTTGATGTCTCTTTCCCCTCACTTAGCATAATGATAGTTATAGCTTATTCCTATCCATAATAAAATTCTACTTCACACTGACTTATCACAGAGCATCATGCCAGTATCATCTTTCAGGGTTTGAATACCCATAGTCTTCTTAGTATTCTTAAAACCCAGAAAAAAGACCAAAACCAACAAAACTATGTACTACTCTAAGTATCTTTGAGAATATATAGCAGAGGTAATGCCAGGGTGAAGAGGCAGGAGTAGTTGGATCAGAGGTGGCGCACACTCACAGAAGCAGGGGGAGAGGGAATGGGATAGGGGGCTTCCAGAGGGGAAACTGGGAAAGAAGATAACATTTGAAATGTAAGTAAATAAAGTATCCAATAAAAAAGAAAGATACTATCTCACCAAACCTAGTCATATAAGCCCATAATCTCAGCCACCTAAGAGGAAAAGGGAGGAAGATATTAACTTCAACAGCATCTTATACTATACAGTAACGACAATGCCAGCCTAGTAAACTCTAACTCAAAAGTCAAATGACAGCTGTAGATGGAGCTCAGTCGTAGATTACAAGTCTACCATGTACAGACAGCTAGATTCAACCCCTAATAACAATAAATATATAGGTTCACCAATTTTTAATGTAAAATTCAAACTTAGACTATGTATCAGAGGGTATGTTCACACCTATATAGCAACACACACACAAACACACACACACACACACACACACACACACACACACACACTCTCATTCAGCCATAGAAGGCTGGAAAACAAACAAAAGATATCAGCATTTTCCACAGAATCTTCTACCGCTTCTCTAAATTTACCCTAATACTACATGCCCATCCATTTCTCCTCCATTTCATTTGGTGTTGATATAGAGAGTGGACATCATTTTTCATTTAAAGATCAGTTTGAGTCATAATATGTCCTGGCGGTTTATCTCTTAAACTGGGAACTAGAGGTACAGTATCTGTTAGAGGATCTAATACGGTCTATACAGCTCTATGTAAATTTAAATATTTATATTGCCTTCTAGGCTCTGCTTCTGGTTATATTTCCATGCAAGTTTTAGGTAGATTTTCATTATGTAATTCCTACCTCTACCTTTACTCCAGTTAATGCCTGTAGTGGTTCATCTCCCAATTATTGTTATTTAGCTTGTTATACTGCATTTACTGGTGATTACATAACCACCAGTTTTAGCTTTTAGGTTTGCTCTTGCCATCACACTAAGATGACGGGTAACTGATACTTCTGGACAGTACTGAAGTTTTTTGTTTATTTATTTATTTTACCAGATCCACCTTTGTACATGTTATGTACATTAATGCCCATATTTAAGAAAAAGGAAAGGGGAAGATCAGGGTTATCTAAGTGACCTCTGCTGACAGAAACTTCATATTCCTCCTACCTATTGGCTGCTGTGATTTGCCATTTTCTTCAAGTTCCATTAAGTGCTCCTAGTTTTCTAGAACTTTCCTTATGAACCCAAAAAGGGGAAGTATGTTGCACTTGACTCACAGTCAATGTTGTAGATATCTGAAAGCCAAATGGACATCTTAAGAAAATGGTTGAAAAGAAAAGTTAAAAGAACTTTATTAGGATTACCAAATTGCTGTTTCACTTTTTAAAAACAGTTCCATTCACTCATATTTTTCCAAAGACCTCCACTATCCAATGGTAAAATGGTTGATCCCACTTAGCAAACCAACCCCAAATCTGTGTTGTACTGAAACTTGTTCGTGATTCTATTTTTTTCTTGTATTATACCACATCTGTCCCATTAACTACTTAATTAGTACTGAAATGTCTTTTTCAAAATAGCCAAGAGTATTGTAATACATTTGTATAGGTATCTGAATGATCATTCAGATAGCAAGCAGAACTCAAAATCGATTGGGAAGTAAGACAGGTTCACTCACACAGAATCTCTCATTCATTCCTAAAGTCATATCTTGATTGAGATTATTCTTTATTTTTAGACTGTGATTTCCAGCAGGTCTGTTTTTCCAATGTATTTCACAGAAATAGACCTCTAAATAATTGTTAGGCATAAATTTTTATTCAGATGGCTTGTGCCCCTTTTATAAACTAGGAAGGAATTATGATAAGGTAAGGAGAAATTCTTCTAGTATTGTCAGTCCAGTCCAAGGCCTATAAGTTGGTCTGGCATACCCTAAGAATTTTAGTTACAAACTCTGAAAACTAGGGGCCTTTACTACCAGACTTTCGAAGCCAGAGACTTATGATGCTAAGCATTCACAGTCAAGGCTTTTTGCCTTAGCCTGTAATCACTCCTTTCCTGGCACTTGGCAGCACTTATAATCCTTGGCTTACAGCAGCAGAAACAGCAGAGAGCCTCAGGCAGAAGCAAACATTATCTCCTAGTATTGCAGTTCTCAAACAAACATTGTAGTAAGTGCTATATCTCCCAAATCTAAGTATCACGATCCCCAAGTCTAACCGGGGCTACAGCTCTAGATCTAGGGTGCCTGAAACCTTTGGTCCTTAACACTTGGCAACTTCCTGGAACTCTTGCAACAACCCAGGTGTACAGTTTCTTATCTTCATGTTCTCACAGCCTACCACAGCCTGTTGTCTTCCTTCTCCTTCCCACTATTTCGGCTGCCACTACTCTCTGAAATGATTACATTGACCTGTCTTCACTACTGCTGCTTCAGAAGTGGCTGTTGTCTGCAAATCTATAGCTCAGCTACTAAGTTTTTTAAAGTTATATTGTCTTCCTGCTGCTAGTTCAGTCCACTCTACCGACAATAAGATCAAAAGTAGACAAGCAAACAAACAAAACCTACTGCTACAGAGAAGCCTTGTGTTTGGACAATATTGGAACACCATAGTGAACATAAAAGGAGATTTTTCCATATGACTGGAAAAATGAAGGAAACTTATTATTTAAATAAAATATTGTGTAAACACCCATCACAGGATTCTTCTGGGTTTAGGCCAGGTGCTTCTCTGGCCTAGGTGGGTTGTTTATCAGGTTTGGTGCTTAGAGTACTGGTTTTGAAGGACTGTGCCAATGGTCTACAGCATGTCCAAAACCATTGTTGCAGGCAACTTCTCCTTGAAGCTGCTTCAGTATCCTTCCAGAAACTGTATAGTGTCCAAAACATCCACTCTGTCTTGAGGTAATGAGCTAGATGCTTGGCCAAAGGTTCCAGACTCAGGGTAGCTAAGATAAAGGGAAGTCTACTACCTGCAAATTAGGCACTCAGACCACTCCACCTTGAATATTGCATTTAAAAGAAAGACAAATCTTTAAGAGGGTACTTACAATAAAAGCTTATCAAGAGTTATTTAAGTACTTAACAATGTTTTCCTACTATTTTCTACTTCAGTGCCCCAAGGAGAGATAGATCTCCTCTGTGTCCAGATAGAACTCAATTTTCTACTCTTACAGAAAAGTACTGAGAATATCTACCACATTCCCAATATTCTACAGCCATTATGTTTCATGCATGAGAACTTGTTGGATATATTGATGTATGTAGGTTGGTATGGTGGTAGTGTTGCTATACACATTTTATTAGCATAGAATTAGTATTTTTAGAGTTTCTGTTCTTCGTCATATGTCCTCCAGATACCTTAACCAGACTGCTGACTGCTGACTCTCCCTTTACCAGACTTCCTTAGTTTTTGAGCCTTGATATAAGTTCCAATGATAGGCTCAGAGTAAATCAGCAAATGAAACCTCTACCCTAGATTTCTCAGGGGTCTCTTAGATTTTTTGTAGTTACCATATACTATCTCACAAAGGCTCTAAAAGGTAACTCCAGATTATTACAAGTTTTAGAGAAATATGTTTTCGTTTGAATAACTGTTTTCTTCCCTCATTACCTCAATCACAGGTTTTCTAAACTACTTGGGAATACAACAAAAAGGTCATCTTTATGGCACAGGTGTCTTCAAGATGGAGATACACTAAGTCCTTGTCACTACAACTGCCATGAGTACCTCTCTTGCTATTTGCTGTAACATTCAGGTAACCATGGCATCTGGGTTAGGCTCCCTCAGCCATTGGCTCTCAGAGATAATGCCCTCTTTGCAGTGCAACATTCTCAAGAAGGAAGCGTTGCCAGCGTCCTCGAGATGCTCCCACTGCACTTGCGCACTCAGCCCAGTGGCCTGAGCAGACTCGGTAGTCAGCTTCCGGTCGCCAAGGCGGGGCCCAGAGCACACGCCATGTCTTGCTTCAGCCGCTCTAAATACAAGACTGGGGACCTTGTGTTTGCCAAGTTAAAGGGCTATGCCCACTGGCCAGCGAGGATCGAACATGTCGCTGAACCCAACCGCTACCAGGTGTTCTTCTTCGGGACCCATGAGACCGCCCTGCTGGGCCCCAAGCACCTGTTCCCTTATGAGGAGTCCAAGGAGAGGTTCGGCAAGCCCAACAAGAGGCGCGGCTTCAGCGAGGGGCTGTGGGAGATCGAGCACGACCCCATGGTTGAGGCCTCCTCCTGCCTGTGCCCAGAAGAGGAGCAGCACTGCGCCGAGGAGCCCGGGCCGGCAGAGGAGCCTGAGCCAGGGCAGGAGCTGGAGCCGGAATCCAGGCCTGAGCCGGAATCCAGGCCTGAGCTGGAGGCAGAGCCGAGGCCTGAGACCGAGTGTGAGCAAGAGCCCGAGCCCCAGCCTGCCTATGACCTGCTGGACGCCTTGGAGGAGCCGGGTCTTACCGAGGCTGAGCCGGGAGATCAGCAAGCCGAGCAGGTGCAAGAGCAGCATCCTGAAGCTGAAGCCGAAGCCGAGGCCGAAGCAGAGGCTGAGGTGGAGGAGCCGGGGAGTCTGAAGAGGAGCGCGGAGGATGAACAGCCTCATAGTCCTCCCAAACGGCCCAGGGAGGCGGCGCCTGGCGCGCTGGAGATGGAGCCGGCTGGAGAGCGCGAGGCTGAGGCCTGCCCCTTCGTGGAGGAGCCTGACCAAACCCAGGAGCAGCAGCCTCCGCTGGAGGAAGAGGCCACAGAAGAGGCGGTCCAGGGCCTGATCGTTGGAGAAATTGAAGAACTGTAGTCACGGTGTCTGTAGAAGAGCCCTCTATCTACCCGTTCCAGGAGCCACCTGGCTGTGGCTTGGGAAACCCACTAGGGCCCAGTCTTCACCCCAGTCCACCTCTCCTTCATTCACTCACCTTCGACAAGCCTAAATTCTTGGCATGAAGGGACAGGCCAGTTGACATCAAGTTTGTGGCTTAAGTCATGGCCACCCTTCCCACCCTAAACTCTTAGGGACATTCTGGACCTAGGAACCAGGAGTGAAGGGGGTGGAAGATAAAGAGCAGGGACAACATTCAAAGGTCTGGAAAGGCAGTCTGGAACTATGGCGATTCTAGTCTACTCCACACCCACACTGAGTGCCTGTCTCCTCCCGTAATTTCTTTCACAGTTTTATAGGTTTGAGGAAAGTGAGACAGCAGTGTCCAGTAAAGATTTTTGTTATCCCATCTACTTTTTTTTTCTTAACTAAAATATTTGGGGCTCCCAAGTCATAAGATCTGAAGACTTTGCCTGCCATTTTGGGTTAAGAGGTGAGACATTATCCTCTCCACATCCCTTGGGCCACTGAGGAGACTTCTGCTGCTCCTTTGAATCTGCCCTGGAGCCCCAAGCCTTTAGTCATATATCACTTAGACGTAAGGATACTTTAGAAACCATCTTTATTTTAAGAGGAATTTTATTACATTTAGAACAATCTTTGGTTGTAACTTCTAATTTTCCTGTGGCCAGTGGCATATCCCTTTTTGTTTGGGGTTTGATGACCTGCTTGTTGTTAAGGCTTTGCTTTTCTTAAGGTGCTATTTCTATCTGCATGTCAGCACCTGGGCCCCTCAATATTGTCACCTACTGCAAAATGTACTGAGAAGTTGAGTGTCCCTTCCCAGCCTCTTCTGTCTCTATGTACCTTGGTACCTGTACCCTCTTGGCCCTGCTCTTTCCCCTTGGGCTCTGATGAAAAAAAAATTACAGCTATATCTTTGGAGGTTTAGATCTGAAAACCGTAGACTATTTCAGTTCTAGCAAATAAAACCGTTGATTACTTTAAAACATATCTTTTCAAGCCTGTTCCTTTGATGTCCAAAGAATTGAATTTTGAATGTGTTGCTCCTTTTGTAGTGCTAAAAGCAAACACCTTCGGAGAAGGATGATCTTCTTGGAGAAGCCTTTATTTCTTGATGTCACCACCTTTCCTTTCACGCTGTTAAAGCAGTCTCTATAACTCACTGAAATGGGTGGGCAAAGATTCAAAGGTTTGGAAAATGACAAACTGGTATATTTCTAATCTAAATGTGTTGTAGAGTTTTTTGGTTTGGAAAGCCTGAGAAATGATTGATTCGTTTGCTTACCTTTCCCCTATTTTTTCAATTAACACTATTTAACACTTTTGTTATGAAGTATAGCTGCTCCATAGTCCTAGTCATAAAAGGAAGTAGTATCTGTGCAATATTTGGAAGCTTTTGGTGGTTTTGTGCAAATATATGGGGAAATTTAAATATTCTTAATCTTAGTCACATGTTGTAGGGTCCCAGGCTCTGCATGAAGGATTGAGAGATCAATAAATCCCAGCCACCATCTCAAAGGGTGACCCTTAACCCATCACTAGCAAGTAACCTGTATTCCATACTAGTAAAAATAACTTATGTTAAATTGTCCTAATGTAAGTTCAGTCATTGTTTTTTCAGTTACTACTCTTGCATTAATAGTGGAAGTTAGTGCTTACTGAATTGCTATCACGTGCCCTGAACGATGACCTTTTATAGTTATAAGCTAAGGTAGCCATTATTAGTGTTTTGTCTCAAAGAACTTTGGTTCAAAGTTTTCCAGCTTTCCATTGAATTCTCAGGACTCAAATACAGATTTCTAACACGTGAGCATTTTCATCTGAATTGTGCCTCCTAAACACTATGAATTCAGAAGTTAATAAAGTAGCTATTCTAGTAATAAGTAATCAAGATAGGAGCTAATTTCTAAAGGGAGCCTCTACTTTTTATACACAATGTCTTTATAATGCAGCCATCCAATTAGACAGCTACTATTATCGCTATTTTAGACCTAAGAGAGTTGAGATTCAGAGACATTAACTAATTTTCCCAAAGGCAAAGAAGTACGAAGTGATAAACCAAGATTCAGATATAGGTTTTCTCTCATTCTAAAGCACAGGTGCTTTGTTCTACTTTATCCTTTGCTATTATATAAAAGCTCTCCAATTCAGTTGAGAGCTTTTACTCTCTTCTGTTTTGAAGTGAACATTTAGAAATTTGTGAGAGAAAAAAACAGATTAACAAACACTGTTTATAGGTGTTTAAAATCATCCTGGGACATGGCAATTGTTTTGTGTACAAATGACTTGGTGAAGTGATGGGGACAATTGTACATTCAGTACTTTTCAAGGTTCATAAGACTCTAGGAGGTTTGAATAGGGATTGCTGTATTTACCAGAGATAAGCATAAGATTTTGATAGTTTTTGTGGAGGCACATCATCCAAAATGACTCAGTAACTTGAAAGAAGGAAAATGAGTTTTCTAGCATTCATGTCCCTCTCTTTGTGTTGCTTCTTTATTCTTTTGTGTTTCTATTGTTATAGATAGAAAAGGGTCTCATTAGACCAGAAGACGTGGTACTTACATTTACCTTCTCAACTGTAATGTTGTAAGGAAAATAGTAATCTCAATAACAATAATGTTAATGCTAAACAATAATGTCCCCATTTTTAAAAATCTGGTTATAACTCCACAGAGAACAGAAAAAAAATTTAGAAGGGGGGAGGGGAGGATCTGTTTTCTGAACCCCTTTATCAAAACAATAGAAACCATTATGTGCTATGGTGACCAATAGATGCTCTTATCTTGGCCTGAAAATTAAGCTGTTTAAAATTCCCAGGAATCCTAGTGTTGTTTTTGTTTTCCTATGAACAGCTTATGCCACAATGACAGAATTACAGATCAGTGATTACCTATCTGACTGAACAAAGCTGGCTGTGTTATCTTTCACTGAAGCTATGTTGCATTAGTCACCCATATTCATGCTTTTCCTGAAGGCCATGTTTAAGATGCCCCACACAAAGGTGTGCTTATCAGTGTTGCTGCTCCAAAGACATAATGAACATACTGTGTTCTGTAATAATTTCAAAGTATTTGATATTTCACAAAAGCATCACTTTGGTAAAGGACAAAGATTCCATTAAGAGTTATAATTTCTGTTACTTAATTTCAGCCAGGATTTACCATTTACTTGCCCTTCAAATTTGAATCAAAAGTGTCAACTCTTTCTTGTGGCACATAACTTCATTACATTTAAGAAAATATATATTAGGACACACAGGACATCTTCAGTTTGCTCCAGTGTCAACATTTGTCACAGAAAATCTTCTGCCCCACATTTCTTGCATACAGAGCCCCTTTTATTTAAAAAGAAGGCCTTCATCATCTCAGCCCAGTTGACCACTGGCCACCCAAAGTGTGATCCACTAACTCTGTTTTTCACAGTGTTCACTGTATGTTCACACTAATTATAGTTTAATTTTGTGTGTAATTTATTCTTCAGTTAAAATATTTTATCTGTTTTACTCTCATAATAAAGCATGCTACAATAAGCACACAATAGTTATAAATGTTTGAAGGTCAGCTTTCAAATACCCCCTACAGAGGTCAAGTGATGAATTGACATCTGTGATGTAATGTTGAAGATACTCTGAGAAAGCAGAGTTTATGTGTATCTGCCTGTAGACTGATGGCAAGAGCCGGTGAGCTGAAGCAATGCTGGGTCCATGTGAGTAGCTAGCTATTTTATTATGGTGACTTGAAGACCGATTGACAAGTTCTCAAAACCCTGAAGAAGTTGATCAGTTGTTAATGTAAAACTGCCTTTTTTCTTTTTTCTCCTCATAATCTGACTTTGCAGTATTTCAGTTATTTTTCTCCTTTAGGTCACAGACAAGCATACTGTCCACAGTGCATGGTTACTTACATAGACAGACAGGTATTCTGTTGGTTTTCAGACATGAGTTACAAATTGACCATTCTGTAAAATTTCTCAACAGTAGGTCAATATGCCAGAGGGAATCCATCTGTACCAGTTACTCTCTCCTCCTCTTGGTCAGATATACATGTCCCTGTCAACCCTCGCAGAATACAGTGAGCTTAAGGGGATAGAATATTTTCACTTAACTATGGCTGGAACCAGCTTTCCATAGCCACTGTCCTCCCACAGCTATAGTTCTCCGTTCCAAAATTCACCATGTTATCTTTAACATCACTAAGATATACTAACATGTTTTTCTATGGTAAGTTAAAAGGTAGTTTTATCTTTGGATTCTGATTTTACATATATTCTTGAATTTCACCAAGTTGGTTTCAAGACTGCTAGTGGAAACCCAGGGTGCTAGTTACTTTTTCTCCAGCTGTGGCCAAATACTTGATAAGAAACAACTTTTGGGAGGAATGATTTATTTTAGCTCACAGATCTGAAGATACAATCTCATAAGATGTGAGGCATGTTGGACAGTTGTGGCAGGATAAACTTGCTCCCCTCTGTCTGGATCAGGAGTCAGACAAGGGAATATTCAGCCTCCTTTTCTCCTTTAGCTTCTTTTTTTTATCAGTTCGGGAATCCAGCCCATGGGATGCTGCCATCTACATTCATGACAGAACTCCTTCCACCATCCCCACTAAAACACTCTAGAAGAGCTTAAATAGATGCATCCAAAAAATGTTCTCACTAATTCCCTTAGTGTTTTTTTTTTTTTTTGTATCCTGTAGTGATGACAATTGTAATCAATCACTGCATCCAGAAAAGAAGCCAGCACAGTCTCTGGATGGCTTCAGGCACATGGCCTGAAAGGAGGTTTTTGTCCTAGAATAGCTAAATCTTCAGGATGGGAACCAAAAAAACATACTCATCTGTCTCAGTGTCCTGCTATGTGGCTAGTGCCCAAGGAGTTTGGGCTACTTTTCCTCTTCTGCTTCTGACATTTTGAGAGAACTGTTTCTTCTGTCCAGCTATATTTGCTTGTTTCTCCTAGGAATGATTTTCTTCAGGAGCTTCCTCAGAATTTGATTGCACTCCAATGTTTTACCATAAAACTCTGGCTTTTCCTTAATAGTGTCAACTCTTTCACATAAATATCCTTTTTATTGTTTTTTTTCTTATCAACTTCTTAGCTGAATATTCTATGTAGACAGAAACTATTTCCTTCATCTTCCTCAGACTCTAGGAAGGTGCCCTTTTCATGTTAAGAGTTAATGAAAGGAAATGAACAGATGTGACTAAACAGGCTGATAATGCATTCTCACACCTGTCCTCAGAAGTCAGTTTGAGGAATTTTGCCATGGAAGCCATTTGGAAACAATTTTGTACCATTTATTTCAAAACATTGTTATTGTATATTTATTTGTCTCAGAAAGTAAGACCTCAGCAGACTAAAGCCCAACCATGATAAATCAAACTGAAAGGTTGCCATCTGTATTGACCGTTCTCCTTGCTATGGTCAAATACCAAACAAAGAAATGTAAGGAGTAGAGGGGCATTATTTTGACTCATGGCTTGAGAGAAAGTAGTCCTTCATGGCAGGAAAAGCTTGAATACAGACAGCTCTATGGTTGTGAGATCAAGCAGCTGGGATCCCTAAAATCTTCACATCTCAGTGGAAGAAAAAGCAAACACCAGATAGAAGCAGGCTTGAATATAATCCTTAAAACCCTTCTACAGTGATCTGACTCCTCCAGGCAAGACCCATCATTAAAAGTTTTGCTACATCTCAATACAGTACCACTCACTAGGGGCCAAGTGTCCAAACCCCAACCTATTCTTCCCAGAAGCTATCACAGGTGAGCAAGTCTCACTTAGTTAAATTCTGGCTCCACTACTTAAGAGCTATGTCATCTCAAATCCCTTCATCAAAATGCTCTGATGGTGACTTTCACATTGCACATTTGTTATGAAAAGCAAATGAGCTCAAATATCTTAAAATGTCAAACATATTACTGAACACAAAACAGACCTTATATGTATGTTAATTTATTTCCCTTCAACCTAATCTCAAG